TTAAGATACTGTTGTAGATTTAGCCTATCTAAGGAATGAACGCTCTTGACAGAGGTTATGCGATGCTCTGTTGTTGTATATTCCACAGAGGAGCAGATACCTGGTCCTTTGAAAAGAGCCCATAGTGACCTACGGCCATGGCTTCAGATCAAGTCAGTCTATGGCTGCAAACAAACATTTAGGGTCTTCTTCAGGTATCTTCCCACCAGGTAATCAGGGTCACGGATAATTCTGCTTAGGTAGATCGAGGCCCCTTATATTTGAGACCCATTCTGAAGATGAACTATGGGCATGTTTGTGGTTCACAGTCAGGATATGCAGTTTTTCTAGATGCTATCTCTTGTCAAATAGGATTTCAATGATTCTCAATGAAATATTACACCGCAAAGGTCTTAGTATCAGTAGCTAATTCAATCCCACCTGAACTCAACATATTTTAATTGATTTTCTTTCTTTTTTTATTTTCTTTTTATTTTCTTTTTTTAAAATTTTATTTATTTATTTTGACAAGTAGAGTTACAGTGAGAGAGAGAGAGACAGAGAGAAAGGGATTTTCTAAAAACTCCTCCACAGCTTCCATTATTGTGAATCTATTTTACCTCCTACACTGGATTACATCTTACATTACATCATTTTGCCTGGTATCTTTATTTTTGAACCTAGAACATTACTAATGTGTCAAAAATACTGAGGATAATCTATGTCTCCCCTAAACCCTCTTTGGCCATCCCAGTCATTGTAATGTCTCTCATTATTTTTGTAAGTAATATGCCTTAGCCACTTGGCACTAGACGTGGGATATATTTTTACTGTGTTTACTAGGTTTCATTCTACATGCATCTCCCCACTCCTCCCATACTGCTACTGAAAATAAGTTGTATACCACTCTAAATGTGGTATACTACATTTTATGAATAGAAAGATAGACAATAAGTAATTGTTAGTAATTTTTTAATATTCTGGATAAAATATTGTTATCTATAATTACTTTGAAACTGCTACTTAGTGTATTTTATTACTACAACACTATCTCTAAAAAGGAGAAGAAAAGTTTCTTCAGCATTCAAATAGAAATATTGTATTCTTCATACCAAAATGTCATTAGAACATAAACAAAAACTCAGTAACTCAAATTCAGTAACTAACCATACATATCTTGCTTTTAAATGTGTCCTAATGTTTTTTTTTTTTTGGTAGCAATTAAAATTAAATTTTACAAGTGGAGCATTGAGTCATTTAGTGAGATTAATATATTATATAATTATCATTAGGTAGCACCAGGAGAGCACTGTGATGAAACCAGACTCCATTCTATGAACATTACCACGTCTCTGAAGCTATCTATCCAGCCGGCTGGATGCAGTCTGCTTTGGATATTTTCCTCTTCCTTTGTACTTTTTCAATCATTTTAGTTTATATGAAAACATGCTATTGCCTAAAGACTAGAACAATTATACTCTATCAAATTATGAGTGCTCAGGTCTCTATTTCAACTCTTGAAGCTGAAATAAATTAGAGAGACCATTTCTCATTAAATTTAACAAATAGGAAAGAAGAAATGTGGTTAATGTAATCATTCCTCCAGGGACAAAGGCTCACCAGGAAAAATGGTAAACATAATAAAAAGGAAGAAGAAAACTAACTAAAAACTAATCATCACATTGATGTCTACTTATGCATTATTTGTTGTACATTACGTATAACTGTATTCTCTCCAATGATACACAAATTAACTAATGAAAATCATACATTGTATATAGTTTTAATACCTGTTTGCTTTATCTGACTACTTGATGAATATGATTAAATACATTTTCATTTTATTAATGTGTATTATAGAGGGACAACTGTAATGTAATTTAATATCACTGTGGTTGCACTGTCATATTAATTCAGATGAGATCAGGCATGTCCAGAGTTGTATGGCCGTAGACAGTGTCATGTTAATTCAACCATCAAATATTTCAGGTGTTACAATCCGCACCTATCTCCACTTTCTAGATTTACAATCCTCCACTACTATCTACTAAGGAATAACCTACGTAAGATACAAATCTGATGTTTTCACACTCAGACCCTTCATTGGTCCCCCTGGAACCTTCCACAACATGGTACAGGGACAGTTTATATATGGCATTGTCTTATTATAATTATAATGCGCCACACTGTCATTTCTCTGTACCCCTACTCATGTAATTAGCCTACGTAGCTCGCAATCCAATTTCACTCTTAACAGTAATCATCCTTCCCGAGTCACCACCTTCTCTGTTTTCTGCACATGTTTCCACTGCAGATTTTACCACCCAGCTTGCTTGGTGTACAGAAACTGTCAGTGCCATATGTACCTCCTCCAGAGCATTTGGTTGTCTCTGGCCAATTTCCATCTGATAGTGTAAACAGATGCCCTTAAAAAAATGAGTTATTTATTTATTTGAGAAGCACAATTACAGAGCTGAGAGAGCCAGAGCCAGAGCCAGAGCCAGAATCATGCATTTGCTAGTTCACTCCCCAAAAGGCCACAACAGCCAGGGCTGGGCTGGGCTAAAGCCAGGAGCCAGGATCTCCGTTCGGGTGTCCCATGTGGGTGGTAGAGGCTCAGGTACTTGAACCATCTTCTGTTATTTTCCCAGACACATTAGCAGAGATCTAGATAGGAAAAGGAGCAGCTAGGTTTCTAATCTGTGCTCAGAAGGGGTGCTCGTGTCACAGGTGGCATCTTAATCTTCTGTACCACAACGCAGCCCCACTGACGCTTTCATAGCAGAATTTGCACAAGGAATGTTGCTATTTATGCTGGGGGCAAGGAGCGAAAACTAGTTTCCGCCTGTCCTCCAACTACGATAGCTACGGACTCTCAGAATTTAGTAAAAGACTTTTCCATTTCCATCATCCTCAGCAAGCAAACTTCTGATGCACGACTTTTTACCTTTTCATAATTTGCTTTTGGGGTTAAGCTTTAATCCTGCTAGTAACAGTTTGTAAAATATCACGTCATTTTTTTTGGCTAGATTCTTCTCTTTGCTCTTCTTTGTTTCTTTTCTATTAGTGTTACTCAAACATCATAAAGAAAGTTACTACATCTAAGTCTTTTGTTTCTGAAGTATTTATTTATTTATTTATTTATTTTGAGAAACCACAGTAAGACCAGAGGTGTCGCAGGAAGAGTAGAGCCTTCAGATGGGATTCTAGAACTGGATCACGTGCAAAGCAGTTGTCATCAGGACTCCTGGATATTAAACATCATAATAACCATGACCCTCCCCTCCAGAGAAATGCAGTGTAAAGGGATGCATGCCTTATTCAGTCTCTCTAGAATTTTAGAGAGATAGTGACAACGACAACAACTATAGATTTGACTATTATTGTAAGAATCATTAGCATGATGAAGGAAAAAAATAAAGACGGGGTTGTGTGTTTTGCTTAGGTATCAAGAATCCTGCACCTTATAGTGGGGAACCTGAGTTCAAGCCCCAAGTTCAGTTTCCTATTCACGCAGACCCTGGGAGGCAGCAGTGATGACACTGTGGGAGACCTGGATTGAGTTCGTGGCTCCCAGCTTCGGCCTGGCCCAGCCCTAACCTTTGCAGGCATTGGAGCATTTGAGTAGCAAATCAGTGGAGAGAGCTTGTTGTCTGCCTATAAGTCTCTCTTTCACTCTCCTTCCCTCCCTTCCCCTCTTTGCCTCTCTGTCTCTCAAAAAATAAGAAGCGAGTGAGACTTAAACCAGGCAGTCAAAATCACAGGGCACAGGACTGGCACTGCGGCACAGCAGGTAAAGCTGCCTCTTATTATAGCTGCATCCTATTTTGGAGTGTACTTCTAGCTGCTCTGTTTCTGATCCAGCTTCCCACTAATGTGCCTGGGAAGGCAGCAGATGATGGCCCAAGTTTCGGGGACCTTGTCATCTATGTCTGGGAGACCAGGGTAGAGTCCTTGAGTCCTAGATTCAGCATGGATCTGTCTTGGCTATTGTGGCCATCTGGGGAATGTACCACTGGATGAAGGTATCTCCCCCACACAAATTTCAAATGAATAACTAAACAAATTTGTCTTTAAAAAAATCTGTCATGATATGAAAGTCATAAGAGCTCTATGAAAGAACTTAAAGAAATCTTCTACAGCACAAGAAGATTAGACTAACACTCAGCTTCTTTGTCTCATTGTAGGAGTAGCACAATTAAAGGGAAGGGTTACTTCAAAGCAGTAGCAAGTCTGTTATGCACAAGTCAGGGTCTCTGCAGGAGGGCAGGAGGACCTGAAGCCTAGATCTGAATCACTAGTTGGTGTGCTCCTCCTTCCTACAGGATGATTACAACCTGTCCTGTAGAACACAGACATCAAATCTGTGGTAGGTGATCCAAAATACACATTTCTTCCTCAAAAGAATTCTTCACCCATGGCCTCCAGTTCATGAGCAATATTCACGATCAGTCACAGTCCAACTGAAGAAATGCTGACTCCACGTTAAGAATAAAGGGGGAAGTCATCAAATGACCTGCAGAAAATGGCTAATATGTCAAGGCAGGTGCCAGGACGACATGCCTAGAAATAAGTCCTCAGAGTTCTAGACAAAAGGTGTGTGTGAAATAGTGGACACATTGTATATGCTAAAGATATACTGATATAATCCAATTAATTCACATCTACAACTATTTGAGATATATATGTTTAAATCCATACATCTTGGTAAACCTAATTATTTCTTTGAGATATTTTCATTCCAGAAAATTAAGATATATACTGGCATTAGAAAAGAAAAGAATGGTCTCAATTAATCAATGTTTAAATTCCACAGTGACAAAATATAAGTTGATGTGTTTGATAAATTCAATCCCAAAAGTACAGGATATGATAACAAAACATAAAAAAAAAATCTAGAAGACTAGGAACTGGCATGATCCTTCAACAGATTACTGTAGCTGCATCTTGTTTCATAATTAACGCATAAAACATTTGTGCGCTTAAAATGTATACATTAGGTACATGTGAAATCCACTCACCCTTACTTGACCCACAAAGGCATTGGCTTCTTCTTCCACCACAGACAGATTTCTAGGCAGATAGGGATCGAACACTGGGGCATTGTCATTAACATCTGTCACCACCACATTTACTGTGGCAGTGGAAGTCTGAAAGAAAACAGAAAGGATTAAATGTAAGAGCAGCTATTTTAACACTGAATTCATTAAGTGATCATCCTAGAATGCACCTCTGTGAAAAATGTCTTGTCCTTGGTTCCATTCCTCAGCTTTTTAGATAAATAAGTAAGTAAGTAACTTTGTGATTTTTTCAAATACCTCAGAAAAACAAATGGAAAAAAATCAACGATGATATTAAAGGGCAAACATCTTCAAAATGCCAAGTACTTATGGCAGGCTTACTTTCAGAAAATGACTTCACCTATGCCTTGTTCACACTTTATGGGTAATGAACTTTCTTTTTTATGCAATACACCCCTATAACTCTGAAATACATCATGTCCGTAATTTTCAGCAATTATATTTTCATTGTTCAAAAGTAAAACCAGTGCAATTACAGGACAGTATGATACCTCAAACAGAGTATTCAGGAAGGCTAACACTAACAGAAAACAGCGTCTTAGTTATTTTCTAGGTGTACATCTAAACGGAGGGTCTGAGCATCACATACTAACTTTACAAGCACGCAGCTGATGGCAGTGATAAACAGGTAAATCTACCGACAGCATGTGCTACCTTGTCAAAAGGTAAATCCCTGGACTGATGCAACCAGAAAATATAATATAGGTCGATGACTTTTGCAGTCAAAGAATATCTTCATGAATGACTCAGAACCTCTGTTCTCTAATCAAAGCATGGATATAGAACCTGGCCTTTACTAGCTCTGCCAGTGTGAGGCAGATCACAGAAGACTTGGATACAAGGTAGAACTAAGAAATAAAAAAAAAATTGAATGTAAATAATTCAGTATGCTTGCATGAGTGTTTGGCAAAATGTTTAAGATACTACTTGGGATGCCCTCATCCCATATGGAAATGCCTGGCAGGAGTCCCAGAAACCCTGTCTTGGACACAGATCCCTGCTAATGTGCATCCCTGGAGGCAGCGGATGATAGCTCAAGTGCTACCCACGAAGAAGACTCAGGTGGAGCTCCTGGCTCCATGCTTCTGCCTGGCCCAACCCTGACTGCTCTGGGCGTTTGGGAGTGAACCAGAGAATGGAAGATTCCTATCTTTGTGTCTGTCTCCCTGCCTTTGAAATAAAGTAAAAAAAGATTTTTTTTTAAATCCAGCATGCAATGATATGTAATGACACAGAAATGGAAGGTAAGAGGGAAACATAGTATTAATCTAACAGGAGAAAATTATCTAAGTTTTGTTTTGAAAAATACACAATTTTACTAAAATGTAAGTGATTTAGAGTGAGAAACTAAGAAGTTGAACACAAAATTGTTATTAAGAATGAGTGACCCTGAAGAGGTTTTCCAGCAATCCCAGTGCAGAGGAGTGAAAAAATGGGTTTTCAATAGCAACCAAGAGAGGTTCTGGTAAATACCACCATGCTCTCTGTTGAAATCACCAAAGTTCAACATTTTATGGGTTGTGCTGCAAGGGGCCTAGCAGGCCTCACACAGATTTCAACTCATCATTCAAATTCTGACTGGATTAAGGTGAACTTCCCTATTTTATAAGATCCAAAGCAAATTCTCCTTTTAGCAATGTGACTTTATCCCAGTCCCCTATAATTTTTCTTTCATATACAACGTCCAGCAGTTGTTAAAAATTGCCATGCACAGCATGGACCTCTTGGCTATTGAAAACAGTTATTCATCTACATAGCGTTAAACTTTTGTGGGATTATCCTGTGAAAATTCCCATGGGACTTCATACATGATTTGTAGATATTTTTTAAAGTTTAGTACAAATTTTGTTAACAGTCCTATAAAAAATGACCAAAACAGCACTTTATAGCTATAATATGAAAAAAAATTTCCCATCAATAGTAGATGGCAATATAGATCATGCTTCAGGTATACAGAGGACTAAAATGCAGCATCAAAATACTAATCACATAGATGAATTTCATGAACGTAAGAATGAGTGAAAGACGTCAAACTCAAAAGAGTGCATATGCTATGTTCCCAGTTATATAAACTTCAGAACAGACATGATCTTCACATGACAACAGAAATCAGGGTAAGGATCCATTTACTCTGTGAGCAAAGCCTTGGCTGAGGACAAAGAACCTCATCCTTTCAATGTGGGAATGAATCTCACTTAGTCATGGTGTATACTCCTTTCAAATATGCTGCAGATTTTGTTTTTTTTTTTAAAGATTTATTTATTTATTTATTTGAAATTCAGAGTTGCACAGAGAGGAGAGAGAGAGAGAGAAAAAAAAAGAGAGAGAGAGAGAGAGAGATTGAGGTCTTCCATCCGCTGGTTCACTCCCCAATTGGCAGCAACAGCCGGAGCTGTGCTGATCCAAGGAGCCAGGAGCCTCCTCCGAGTCTCCCACATGGGCACAGGGGCCCAAGGACATGGGCAATCTTCCACTGCTTTCCCAGGTCACAGCAGAGAGCTGGACCAGAAGTTGGAGCACCTGGGTCTCAAACCGGCGCCCATATAGGATGCTGGTGCTTCAAGTCAGGGCGTCAACCCGCTGCGCCACAGCTTTGGCCCCAGATTTTGTTTTCTTATTATTTTGTTGAAGATTTGAATATCAAGGTTCACAAGGGATGTTGTTCTGTGGCTTTTCTTTTTCCTCGAAATATCTTTGATTTTGGTTTCAGGATAATGCTGGCTTATAGAATGATTTGAGGTTCCATTTTCAATTTTGTCGCTCCCCGTCTTCATGGGGGAACGACACTAAACCCTGCCTAGGCTTCATATCCGAGTCACGGCACCATTATGTCGTTCCCCGTCTTCGTGGAGGAACGACACAGGACCCTGCGCTGTTCTTGCGTCTGCTCGGCCCTCCCCGGGTTTGCTGCGGGTTCTTCCCGGGTTGGCTACCATCCCTTCCACCTCCGTGGAAGGGCGGTTCCCCCTGCCACATTCCCCACTTCCGCGGGGGAGCGGCACACCGCCGGCCGGCTCTCTCGGGGGCTGCACAGGTGTTCCCCTTAGATGTTCCCCTTAGATGTTCCTGGTGCATGCCGTCTCTCTCCTCCTTTATAGTCCTCCTCCGCCAATCCTAACTCGGCTGCCCACACGCTGAGTACGCTGCTCTCCTCCAATTAGGAGCAGGTCCTGCAGCTTGTCAAGTTGGTGAGAGGCAGCTGGGTAGAAGCTGTTGCCTCCTCTCCCAGCGCCATATTTTGGGAGAGCAGATGCATAGAATAAGTCTTAATTCCAGTAACTCAGTCCAGTCCGGGTTGCTCCCAACAAATTTTTGTTTGGAAAAGCTTGAAAAACACTGGTATTAGTTCTTCTTTAAACATTTGGAAGAGTTATCCGCTGAAGCTAAAAGTTCAAGGGTATTTCTCTGCTGGGAGGTTTTGTTTATTGAGTTAATATCTTTATTAATTGTAGGCCTTTGCAGATATCCTACTTATTCAGTTTAGTCTCTACAGGTTCTGATTTTTGGAATTTGTCTATTTCACCTAGTTTACCCAAATTGTTGACATGTTAATTCCTCATAATACTTACTCTCTTGCAATTTATTTGTTTCCGGTGAATTTATAGTAACATTCTCCACTTTCATGCAAGATTTTATTACACTGAGTCTCTTCTCTTTTCCTGACAATTGTTCATAAACTTCATGGACTTTTTCAAAGAACTTTTGGATTCATTGATTTCTCCATTGTTTCTTTGATCTGTATCTTCTTTATCTCTACCTTAATCATTACCTATTATAACACTAGCTTTTACATTTTCTTATGTACTTATTTTTATTGAGATCTTCAATTATTCATCTTGTGGCCTCAAGTTACTATCTAGCAATCTTTCACTTCAGCCTGCAAAAATCCCTTTTTTTTATTTTTCAAAAGAATAGTTTATTATCAACAAACTCCTGTATATTTCATATGGGGATATCATAATTTCACTCTCACATCATGGAACAGTTTTGCTAGACATGAAAATCTTTATTCTTAATTTTCCCCCTCCTTTATCACTTTGAATGTAATAGCCTAATACCTTATGGTCACCCAAGTGTCTGATGAGACAAATTCTTTTTTTTTTTAGAAGATTTTTTAAAATTTATTTGACAAGTAGAGTTATAGACAGTGAGAGAGAGAGACAAAGAGAAAGGTCTTCCCTCAGTTGGTTCACTCCCCAAATGGCCACCACGGCCGGCGCTGTGTAAATCCTAAGCCAGAAGCCAGGTGCTTCTTCCTAGTCTTCCATGCCAGTGCAAGGGCCCAAGCACTTGGTCCATCCTCCACTGCCCTACTGGGCCACAGCAGAGTGCTGGACTGGAAGAGGAGCAGCCAGGACTAGAACCCGGTGCCCATATGGGATGCCTGCACCACAGGCAGAAGATTAACGTAGTGAACCACAGTGCCAGCCCTGAGACAAATTCTTAAGATCTTATTGAGTACTACCTATACATTACAAGTTGCTTCCTTCTTCTTTGAAAATTCTTTTGATAGTTTGATTACAAAGTATGAACATGCTGGTTTGTCTCTGAGGTTATCCCACTTGGGTCTCCTGGAGCATCTTAGATGCATATAGTCATGTTTTCTCATCAAAATAGCATGTTGTTATTATTTCTTCAAATATTCTTCACTCTCTTTCTTTTCCTTATTATACTTCCACAATGCATATGCTAGTCTGTTTAATGGAGTCCCACTGGCTCCCTAAACTCTGTTCACTTTTCTTTAATCATTCACTTTCCTTAATCATTTTTCTCTCTGTTCTTCAGACTTAATTTCTATTGCCCTATCTTCAAGCTTATTTTTATAGCTAATTTTTAATTCATATATATTTCCTAGATCCAGAATTTCTTTGAAATTCTTTTTTGTATCTTTTTCCATATCATTAATTTCTATTCTGTTCATTGTTCTTAGCTGACTTGCTCCATATATGCCTTTATTTCCTTTAGTTAATGTCAGACATTTGTTTTAAAATGGGTCCACCACTGCCAACCCCCCAAAGGCAGTTTTAGTGTTTATTTGTTTGTTTATTTATTTATTTAGAATAGGTCAT